GAACCCATTCATTTCTATACCCCATTTTCCCTGAGGGTGCAAAATGGAATGTTAATGTGTCAGATTACTGGAGGTATGATTGAACATGTAAGGAGCTCAGGTAAGGCATCACCAACCCTTGTGGGTCCCTGCAACTCTGTGTTTGCTAAACGTACATAAAGGTACACCTCTTCCTTATCCAGCGGCACCAGCTGTTTGTTTTACCACACCAAACAGAAGCAGAGCAAGGAGACAATTTACACAGCATGCAAGTAAACACAATGCATGTAAACATTGTGCAATGCATGTAGACACCCATGCATGTAAACACACAATGCATGTAAACACACAATGCATGTAAACACACAATGCATGTAAACGCACAATGCATGTAAACGCACAATGCATGTAAACACAATGCATGTAAACACACAATGCATGTAAACACACAATGCATGTAAACACACAATGCATGTAAACACACAATGCATGTAAACACAATGCATGTAAACACACAATGCATGTAAACACCCATGCATGTAAACACACAATGCATGTAAACACACAATGCATGTAAACACAATGCATGTAAACACACAATGCATGTAAACACACAATGCATGAAAACAGACAATGCATGTAAACACAATGCATGTAAACACACAATGCACGTAAACACCCATGCATGTAAACACAATGCATGTAAACACACAATGCATGTAAACACACAATGCATGTAAACACACAATACATGTAAACACCCATGCATGTAAACACACAGTGCATGTAAACACACAATGCATGTAAACACAATGCATGTAAACACACAATGCATGTAAACACACAATGCATCTAAACACAATGCATGTAATCACCCAATGCATGTAAACACAGTACATGTAAACACACAATGCATGAAAACACACAATGCATGTAAACACAATGCATGTAAACACCCAATGCATGTAAACACAATGCATGTAAACACAATGCATGTAAACACCCATGCATGTAAACACACAATGCATGTAAACACCCATGCATGTAAACACACATGCATGTAAACATACAATGCATGTAAACACAATGCATGTAAACATACAATGCATGTAAACACAATGCATGTAAACACAATGCATGTAAACACAATGCATGTAAACACCCATGCATGTAAACACACAATGCATGTAAACACCCATGCATGTAAACACACAATGCATGTAAACATACAATGCATGTAAACACAATGCATGTAAACATACAATGCATGTAAACACACAATGCATGTAAACACACAATGCATGTAAACACACAATGCATGTAAACATACAATGCATGTAAACACCCATGCATGTAAACATACAATGCATGTAAACACACAATGCACGTAAACACAATGCATGTAAACATACAATGCATGTAAACACACAATGCATGTAAACACAATGCATGTAAACACACAATGCATGTAAACACACAATGCATGTAAACACACAATGCATGTAAACACAATGCATGTAAACATACAATGCATGTAAACACACAATGCATGTAAACACACAATGCATGTAAACACAATGCATGCAAACACACAGTGCATGTAAATACAGTGCATGTTAACACACAATGCATGTAAACACACAATGCATGTAAACACAATGCATGTAAACACCCATGTATGTAAACACACAATGCATAAAACACACAATGCATGTAAACACACAATGCATGTAAACACCCATGCATGTAAACACAATGCATGTAAACACAATGCATGTAAACACCCATGCATGTAAACACACAATGCATAAAACACACAATGCATGTAAACACACAATGCATGTAAACACCCATGCATGTAAACACACAATGCATGTAAACACACAATGCATGTAAACACACAATGCACGTAAACACAAAATGCATGTAAACACCCATGCATGTAAACACACAATGCATGTAAACACACAAAGCATGTAAACACAATGCATGTAAACACAATGCATGTGAACACTAAATGATTGTAAAGGCATCGTGGACATGTAAACACCCATGCATGTAAACAAACAATGCATGTAAACACACAATGCATGTAAACACCCATGCATGTAAACACACAATGCATGTAAACACACAATGCATGTAAACACACAATGCACGTAAACACAAAATGCATGTAAACACCCATGCATGTAAACACACAATGCATGTAAACACACAATGCATGTAAACACAAAATGCATGTAAACACCCATGCATGTAAACACACAATGCATTAAAACACACAAAGCATGTAAACACAATGCATGTAAACACAATGCATGTGAACACAGCATGATTGTAAAGGCATCGTGGACATGTAAACACATGCATGTCAACATAACATAACATACTGCTACATGCACTGTGGAGATTGTCCTGATGTGTTTTACTGACAACTATCAAAATATTGTTCTAAATCTTATCATAAAAATATTTGAATACAGCTAAGTGTGAAATACAAACTTGCAGTATTTTTAATAACTCAGAGACAGTGCAATACAGGATAAATATTGCTGCTTTCAAACATTTACTGACTTGAAAACAATTGAACACCCATTTGGATTGATTTTTCTAAATAATGTTACAACTGTCTACTAGCTCAAGGTCCCAAACATTACTGCCTATCGACTTTAAGGACCATCCTCATCAATGTCCCTTCTCCACAACATATAACCTCACAAATACAAGTGTTGATTTTAACCTGTAGAGATGACCTGAGCTTCATAATAAACCTTAACTGCCACTTGTGCCTATAGTATTGTAGGTATCTTCCTATCTCATAGTAACCTTTTCAGAGGTACTACTTTCAAGTGAGACCTGCTCAGAGGTTTTACATTTGAATTGTGAGACCTAGGTTTCACAGTTGGACTGTAATAACAGCCTTTAATATGTTTAATATTCTGACTGTTAAAGGTCACCATTTGTTTCACATGATAATTCAGTGACATGAATCGAACCTGCAACCTGACATATCATGTTTAGTATTTGTAACCCACTGATCCAATGGGGCAGGTGATGAGAGGGTGTTCAGTCTTAAGTGTCATAACTTCAGTTGTCTGCTTGCTGCACATGGTCTTTCTCGTGACTCGGTTTTGGTTGAAAATGTAAAACCCAGATCTCAGGAAAAGCCCTTGCCTCAAGGTGTTACATTTTCAAACAAAACCTCAGAGTTGTGTTTTAACTGTAACTTAACTCTGCACTCGTGGCAACATATTCAAATAAGTTCTGGGAGAACAATTCTTTATCTGAAATGCCTTATTTTTCATTTGCTTACCCCGCCCATCTACAGGCCAGAATTTGTCACCAAATATGTGCAAACCAAGGAATATATAACTCTCAGGCCTTGGCTTCAATTGAACAATACCTCCTGGGCCCAAACTTCTTCCTCCTACAGTTGAAAAAAATGAAATATCAGTGTATGAACCTGAAACCCTGGGTAATTAGGGCATCGTTAATTACTACCTGATCAATAAGTATATGATATATACACCTACCAGGAGAAATCTTGACATTTTATTTGCAAATTTTGAGGAATTTGTCATTATTGATAAAACCCCTTCTGCTCCTATGCTAGCTAGATACTGTGCTAAGAGAATCAATTTGTAGTCAATTAACTAGGCCAAGACCTGCTTTTACCATGCTGGAAAACATTTCTTTAAAATTAATAAATACATTATATTAGATAAGAAATATTTAAACACAGAAAGCTGGGGTAAGTGTTAATAACATCTGTACATATAAAAAGTGATTCTTTAATTAGGGCCTTTGCTTGAGAGAGGAAAGGCCGTGGTTTGATCACATGTGTGATACCAAAAGATGTCAAAAGATGGTACTTGTTGTTTCCCTGCCTGGCACTTGGCATAAAACAAGGTCGGCTCAGAGTCAGTTTTCTGTGTCTCAGTGGGGTGGTCATGTTAAACTGCATGGTATCTCATTGGGCTATCACTATAAAACTGACATCAGTACCAGTACAGACATTCACACACACATACCCATACATGCACACGCACCCAAAAGTCCGCCCGCCCCCCCCCCCCCCCACCCCACCCCCCCACCTGCCCGCACACACGCACACCGCTATATAAGTGTCAAAGCACTAGATTTCAACAATATTTGATTTCTGTTTGCAATCATAAAGACATAACCTGGAACTGCTTATATCAATGTTTTGTGTATCATTATGACACGCTATTTGGTGTGTTTCTCATCTTACACCATCATAAATTATCATCCTGCTCAACAATATTTGAACAGCATTGTTATTTTATTGCGCTCTGGAAAGAAATGAACGAATTTCCTGTTTCATACAATGAAAATCCTTGCTGTGTTTTATCAAAGGGTGTTCAAAGAGGGAAAAGTAACTGCCAATAGCTTGGTTCTGCAAATTGTTTTTTCCCATATTTTAAGCTGTCAACACTGATACATCAAAAGTTGCACTACAGAATTTGGCACAGTAACAATGACATCTATGAATTTATGAGCACATGTACGTTTTGAAACTGACATAACGAGTGAGTGAGTTAGTGGGTGAGTGAGTGAGTTTGGTTTCAATTCAATGCCACTTTAAACAGTATTTCAGTTATATTACTGCATGTCAGCTTGAGGACGTAGTGATGCAGATCTTAGACGTTTACCACTTTTATGAAACCAATAAGCACCGGGTATGGTGCTGTAAACCAAGAAACAGGTCAAACCAGACTGAGATTCAACGCCATGATCACAGGTTCCTGGCATGCCTAGGGGACACAACTCTGCACAGCAATCATAATTCTGGAGGTTCAAATTATGAATTATTTTTTCATAAACAACAGTTGTACTCCTAACCAAAAGTAGTTCTTGTCTGTAAAAAAATTATTTTAATCTTATTCCAACCACCCACTCCCTCTGAAGCAGAGAGATGGGAAACTGACGCCAAACTGATGGCCTCTTATGAACATATTCTGCATCTGCTTCATCAAGTTTGTTTTGTTTGTTTCCAGATGAAGTCCAAGGAATCTATATAGTGGCAGTGGAACACCTCATGACAGAGATGGTCACTAGCAAATCAAGGTGACAATATCATTGTTTTCTCACATATTTCATACTTAAACTACTTGGCCAGATTCTTGTCAAACCCAATGCTTGACGTAAACGATAAAATGAGAATCAGAGGACACATTGTGTGACTTGGATAATGAGTGTCATTGTACCCAAAATACAAGGGTTGGCGTTCACTGTTCATGCTATCAATCACTGGTTTGACTGGCCCAGGCTTGTCTGTATACTGCTCTCCATAACAAAGTTGGAATATTTTAGATAGCTTAGCATCACCACAGAACCGAAATAGAGCACCAGAAAGGCAAACTCTTGTTTACGAAATGTGAAATGTCAAAGTTGATTTTTGCCTAAAGGTGTTTTTCCCTACCAGCAGTAGGTCTATTCTCTAATAATCTAGAGTCTAAAACTATCACCATCATCCACTTACCCATGCATTGTATGTGGCTATATTGATCAAATTGTATTAGTCCCACCAAACCATTATAATCTTACGGCCTGCTTTCTTAAATAGAAAATATTCTTAATGTAAAATTTCCTCCCTTTTATTGAAAATCAATGCATAAGGATGTTTAGATTGGGTGTGGTTTCACCATTTGAATCAGGCTAACTATGTGTCTGGAAGAGACAATGTCTGGAAATTAAACATCAATATGCATATGAATATACAGATAAATACCATTAATAATACAAGTTTAATTGCCATGACCCTTACAAACACAGAGCACTTAATATAAAACAGTATATTGATTCCTGCATGAAAATACCAATAATATTCCTGAAATGGCTGCCAAGGTCATGTTGAAAATCATATTCTGTAACTATTAATGGGTTGATCCAGTCAAATGACAAGGATGTGACTCTTTTAGCCCAGTAGAGCCATCAAATCTTAGCGTTACAGTATTCTAAATGCCTTGAAAGGGTTCATATGACTTTACAAAGTCATGACCAATATTTGTTTTCCCAAGTCTTGGATTTGCATCCCCACCAAGTGTGAGTCAGTGAGTCTGTGTGTGAAAAAGGTGAGGTGAGGTGAAATTGGGTTTAACGTCGCGTCCAAGATTATTGCACTTATATAGCGACGTGCATGTACGTGTGTGTGTTTGTGTGGCTGCTTGTACTAGTCCGGACTGATGCCAAGTTATAGTGCTAGCTCACTGAGATACCATGCCGCAGTTTAACATGAATACCCCACTCAGACACAGTATACTGACTCCGAGCCGACCAGTAATAGTCCTTGTTTTAGCCCCTTAATACCGAGCGCCAGACAGGGTAACAACAAGTACCATCCTTTAACATCTTTTGGTATGACGCGGCCGGGGATCGAACCCCGGACCTTCCGCTCTCCGGGCGGACGCACTACCACTAGACCACGGAGGCGGTCCGTGTGGAAAAGGGTTTCAGAGAGCATTTTGTACCATCTCGAACCTGAGCTCGACTTATAATTCAATTTGGGCAGTCAGAAGTCAAATCTTTAAACAGGTTTTAATCAATTTGCCGCATGCTTTAAGAGAAAATTATTGCATGTTTTATGAGAAAAAATAATTGATTAAAGTCAGGAAATGCTATCAAGTAATAAAATCATGCTGAAAATAAAACAGCAACTAATTACAGATGACATTAGCAGCAAGCTGAGCCAAGGGTGGGATCAGGGCCTTCTACTTCACCTCCTCCAAATGACATAGTTTAACATAGACTTGCGCTAGTCAGTACACAAACATCTTCTGGGATTGCTCACGGTGAAGGAATGACTTTGTGTGGGTCTTTGATCAACATTGCTGTGAGGGTGAGGGTGAGGTGAGGTGAGGTTGAGGTGAGGTTGAGGTTGAGAGTGAGGGTGAGTTGAGAGTGAGAATGAGCTTGAGGGTGAGTTGAGGGTGAGAATGAGGGTGATGTTAGAATGAGGGTGAGGTGAGGTTAGGGTGAGAATGAGGGTTAGAGTGAGGTGAAGTTGAGGTTGAGGTGAGGTGGATGTTGGGATTCAGGTGAGGTGAGGTAAGATTGAGAATGAGTTGAGGTTGAGGTTGAGGTGAGGTTGAGGTGAGGTGAAGTGAAGATCTGATCCATTAGAGAGAAACCTACATGTTCCACACACTCAACCAAATAGGATCTGATCCATTAGAGAGAAACCTCCATGTTCCACACACTCCACCAAATAGGATCTGATCCATAAGAGAGAAACCCACATGTTCCACACACTCAACCAAATAGGATCTGATCCATTAGAGAGAAACCTCCATGTTCCACACACTCCACCAAATAGGATCTGATCCATAAGAGAGAAACCCACATGTTCCACACACTCAACCAAATAGGATCTGATCCATTAGAGAGAAACCTACATGTTCCACACACTCCACCAAATAGGATCTGATCCATTAGAGAGAAACCTACATGTTCCACACACTCAACCAAATAGGATCTGATCCATTAGAGAGAAACCTACATGTTCCACACACTCAACCAAATAGGATCTGATCCATTAGAGAGAAACCTCCATGTTCCACACACTCAACCAAATAGGATCTGATCCATTAGAGAGATACCTACATGTTCCACACACTCAACCAAATAGGATCTGATCCATTAGAGAGAAACCTCCATGTTCCACACACTCAACCAAATAGGATCTGATCCATTAGAGAGAAACCTCCATGTTCCACACACTCAACCAAATAGGATCTGATCCATTAGAGAGAAACCTCCATGTTCCACACACTCAACCAAATAGGATCTGATCCATTAGAGAGATACCTACCTACATGTTCCACACACTCAACCAAATATGCCTTTTGAGAGAATTTAGTTGCATTGTCAAAACAAGGTCATTTCAAATACTGTGTAAAATGAAACACATGTCCTGAAACTAAACAAATACCCAATGTCATTACGCTCCCGAAAATGTCAAGTAATGGCCTAAAATAGAATGTGGCTGTTCGATTTTCACAAACTGGGATGTCATCATTGGTGGAAACAATTTTTAAGCATGTGAAATTTTAGCCTCTTTGGTTTTAAGGAAATTTATAGATGTCAACTTCTTTATTATGATGAACACAACATTTGGGAGATGTGTTCATCATAATAAAGAAGTTGACATCCATGATCATGAAGAAATATGGTCTCCAACAACAAAACAACTAAAGAAACAAATGTTATACAACAAACACACAAAAAATCTAATAAATTTATAACATATAAAAAATCATATAATAACCTAAAATGCATATGTTTCACTGATGAAAAAATTGTATTAAAAGAGAATGATGTGATGTTAAGCTACTTAAGTGGTGAGGCCCCTGAAAAGCATTTGGGTTTGCATGTTCGGTTTAATGCTTCCTGGCAATACAAACATGCACTTTTATGCAAATTTTGTGAGTGGCACTTGTGTCCAGTTGGGCAGGACATGCTTATTCTGTTTGCAAACACGTAATGTGTCATCACCGACTTCAGTGATCAATTCACCACTGTTTTACCTTTTACGCCAAATGGAATCTGTGTCGGCAAGATAATCGCGACACCCAATGGAACCTGTGTCCGCAGATAATCGCGACACCCAATGGAATCTGTGTCGGCAGATAATCGAGACACCCAATGGAGTCTGTGTCCCCTGATAATCGAGACTGACTATTCTCTGGCGTGGACGTATTTATATTTATATGAACAGTGTGAGTAATATAATAGCATGTCAGATCAATGTAGGACCAGTTGAAACTAATGCAGGTCTTCGAGTGTTTAACACTTTGGTGAAACCCTTGAGTCGGTTATGGTGAGTCTATTTTGATGCCTTTCTTTATTCACTATCAATATTAATTCATGATCATCATTACCAAGTAAGTTGTGGAGTCCCCAATTACACTGAAAGCCCACTGTTGTATATGGATAATGGTTTTATACCTATCTCACGTGACTCTGTTGGATAATGTCTGGTTCCTGTAACTGCGACCTTGATTGCACACACTGGGTGTCTGCTTCATGCAAAACCAGACTGGAAAGAGCAAACAATGGTCCAGCCACATAATGGTGGCTTGTAAATTATTGAGTCAGGGCTGCCACTCCTGTGGTTGATAGCATGAGCAAGGTCCACTGACACACAGCCAACCTGGTCATGCTTTATGACCATCTGATCGCCTTATTTTAGCTCTTACAACCAGAGTCATGGGAAACCACTCCAGCTTTGGTTGTTGTTTAACAACACTCAGCAATATTCCAGCTATATGATGCCAGTCTGTAAATAATCAAGTCTGGACCAGGCAATCCATTGATTGACATCATGAGCATCAATCTAAGCATTTTGAATATGATGACATGCATCAATCAAGTCAAGCCTGACCACCTGATCCTGTTAGTTGCCTCTTACAACAAGCATAGTCGCCTCTTACGGCAAGAATGGGTTGCTGAAGACCTATTCTCAACTCCGCTCTTCACGGGTCACTCCACCTGTATCCCAGCTGGATGTACAAATAATCCAGTGACTGAAAGCAAGAGCAATGGCCATGCCATTCAGTGCAGGCAGTCGGATACAGAGGGGTGGTGCTGAGGTGTGCACCCCACACCTAACATGTCAAATGTGCATTTGGAAAGTTAGACACCTTGTGACTTTGGTATTATGTGCACCCTTGTTCTCAAAATCTGGGTCCGCCTCTGGCACGGTAACACCAAATCAGTCAAATCACATAGCCTGACCACCCATAACGACACAGGTTTGATTCCCAACATGGGTACAATGTGTAAAGCCCATTTCTGGTGTCTCTGTGACATTGCTGCAAAATTGTTAAAAGTGGCGTAAAACCAACTCCCACACTTATGACAAGCATTGGGTGCTTCATCAGGGACAGTTTTCCCCCCTTCATCTTCTGGAGACATAAACAAGTGGATGATATTTTGCTCTACAGATCTTTGAATTACTGAAGTTCATGCACCCTGCATCACATAAGTCGTAATCCAAATTTTAAGTGAGTTCATGTTAATGCTCCAGTAAGCGCTATTCCAACTGCCTTTAAGTGAGTAAGTTGGGGTTTAGCTATATTCACGGCAGGGGACACCAGAAATGGGCTTCACACATTGTAGCCATTTGGGAAATCGAAACTGAGCCTTTGGCATGACAAGCAAACGCTATAACCACTACTCGGCTACCCCACCAAGTAGCCCGTCTGATTCAGACAAACCGGGGGTTGAAAGTAAGAACAATGACCCATGCTACCTGCTAGGAGCACCCAAGTCACAGAACCTATAACAACTGGGCTGAGTAGCCTGTCTGATTCAGTCAAACCAGGGGTTGAAAGTAAGAACAATGACCCACGCTACCTGCTAGGAGCACCCAAGTCACAGAACCTATAACAACTGGGCTGAGTAGCCTGTCTGATTCAGTCAAACCGGGGGTTGAAAGTAAGAACAATGACCCACGCTACCTGCTAGGAGCACCCAAGTCACAGAACCTATAACAACTGGGCTGAGTAGCCTGTCTGATTCAGACAAACCGGGGGTTGAAAGTAAGAACAATGACCCACGCTACCTGCTAGGAGCACCCAAGTCACAGAACCTATAACAACTGGGCTGAGTAGCCTGTCTGATTCAGTCAAACCGGGGCTTGAAAGTAAGAACAATGACCCCCGCTACCTGCTAGGAGCACCCAAGTCACAGAACCTGTAACCACCATATCCCTGTGTCTGTTGGATCTGACGACCACACAATCTGACAAAGAAACATTTTGAAGAAAATATTTAGATAACTGTGCAACACATGAACATTATTTACCATCATGCAACTGCTGGAAACAAAATATGTCAAACTGCAGAATTCTTGTACATGGAAATCATGACTCAAATTATATTTGTTGCCGCATTTAACAGCCAGTTTCCTCTTTAAACTAAATAAACATTGTATTTCTCAGTAATCAATGCAAACATCAGTGCCAAGTCAGGCTCTCCCACAAAGATAAAAACAAAGGTTATGAAGGCAAAAAAACCAAAGAACTGCAGTGCAGATGAGCATCAGCTAGAACAGGTTCATGCGTACCGTATTCGATGTAATAAGCGCCCAGGGCGCTCTCAAAATTAGAAATAGGGGGCACTTATTAGAATATTATTTTGGTGGAAAAAACAGAGTTGAAAGATAAATTTTGTGGTTTAAACTGACGGCCTGACTGTTTATATGCAACAGATATATTTTTCCAGAATTTAATTGCCCATAATTAAGGGTGCATATAACACAAAAGTGTGTATTATACACGAATAAATAAGTTTTGTGTACACTGATCAATCAGAAGGGGTGTTAATTGGGATTGTTCACTTGCCAATATATCAGCAAATATCGCCGTGGGCGCTTATTAGAGCAGAGCGCTTATTACATCGAATACGGTAATTGATAGGATGTTGTGGAGGATTTCTCATTCCCGCATAGCCAGTACCACTCCATTAGGGTTTAACAAGATGCATGTGCTGTCTTCATGTTGTTGTCGAGCCAGCATAGAATATCATAAATAGCTGAACAGTTGAAGAGCAAATTCATAAGCAGTGCTGTACCTCCTTGGGGAAATTGTAAATTACACTTCAAAACAACCTGGCCTACATTATTCTTTAACATGGCTGATTTATAGTGAGAGCAATTATAGGTTGGAATGTGGTATTATGAAAGTGGAGCAGTGTGTGAAGTGGACTGAGTGAGTGAGTGAGTGAGTGAGTGAGTGAGTGTTGGATGAGTGAGTGAGCTAGTTTTCATCATTTTTTATTATGACAGTGAAGCAGTGCATGAAATGGAGCGGGATGAATGAGTGAGTGAGTGAGTGAGTGAGTGAGTGAGTGAACTATACTGTTTTTATAATTTGTTATTATGACAGAGAAGTAGTGTGTGAAGTGGATTGAGTGAGTGAGTGGGTTGGGTGAGTGAGTGAGTGAGTTACACTTTTTATATTTTTTATTAAGACAGTGAAGCAGTGTGTGAAATGCAGTGAGTGAGTGAGTGAGTGAACTATATTGTTTTTTTTTATAATTTGTTATTATGACAGTGAAGCAATATGTGAATTAGAGTGAGTAAGTGATGTAGCTACACTGTTTCATATCCTTTACATAAAAGAAATCACAGATTCCGCCTGAACTTTGCTATGATACAATATTGGCAACTAGAGGAAGCTAAGCTACACTTGATTCATTATCTGGACAACCCTTCCCAATAGATCATTATTCTTAAGCAAAAGTTTAACCATCCAGTAAAGTAACAAGACGATATCTCATCAAAGCAGCAATGCTCGTTGTATGTTCAAGGAAACCAAACCTGCTCACTTATAACCCTAACACACATTGAATATTGCTAAACGATCCATCAGTTATGGTCAGTATGTTACTCCATACCACATCATATTGATTAATGGTGGTTTAATAAACTGAAATCTTGAACTCCTTTACATCGTGCGCCATGAATAGCTGGGAAATTGCTGATACAGCCTAAAACATTCATTCATTCATTCATTCATTCACTCCTTCCTTTCCATCATGAATATCAGAAAGACGTGGTTTGTCATTCCTTTCATTACTTCTCCTGATTCAACTTGACAAAATGCAGCATCCCTTTTTAAATGCTGAATAGAAAGCTTTATTCTGCTATGTCAACCAGTAACATCTGTGCCCTCTCTTGTGTTTCAGACTCATGACGTAATGAACATAGAGGACTCGACCAATAATGATCAAGACGAGGAGCAAGAGCCAGCCAATGAGAATGCCATGTATAATAACCCCTCACTTGTCGGTCTTTCACCTCGATTCCTCAATGACAGCGCCACCTACCAGTTTAATTTAACGGATGCCATTGAACACTCGACAAATTCTGTCCTCACTGAAAGGGAGAAGTTTTACCGATCTTACAATCCCAATGTGGGCTTGCACACGGCCGCAGTGCTTGGTGGGATTCTTGTGTGGGTGATTATATACCTGTTTTACAGAACAAAGTGCAAGAAAGCTGTGATTCGACTGATTCGGCAAAAAAGGAAAAAGGATAAAGTGTTTGCCGAGAAAGAGGTGATGGGAAGGTTCATCCCCACCACTGTGGAGCAGACTTGTGGTTTGTTGGAACACTCAACTATCAGTGGATTTGATCAAAAGTTTTTTGGAAAAGATTTTGTGATAGATCAAATCCAGGCCAGTATAGAATGCCAAAAGCTGATAGTCAACGAACACAATTACAGCCCCACCACTGATGATCAGCATTCAAAATGGAATCAAACAGAGTTACCCTCACCTGTTCTGCTTCCAACATGCAACCTTTCTTCCCCTTCAGTTACAACACTAGACCTCCATCAGATGCGACAACAGCAACTTATTCAGCAACTTCCAAGCGTTGAAACAGACATCGCAATGGCAACAGCTCAATGGGTTCAGGATCAACCATTATCATCACAAAGCGCCAGTTTCCAAGACATCTCAGGAGTAATTCTCAAAGTTCAACCCCACACGGTGCGAAACCAGATCCCAGGATCTTGTCCATTGGACTCACTGACATTACGGCACAATCTCACTCCAGTAATGCCCAAGACATGGAACAAAAGTATGCCAATTTTATCCGAGAATTTGCACATATCATGTGAAGAACTCTCAGCAGAGAAGAAAACAAACTGCAAAGAGGACAAGAAGGTGAAAGTGCTGCCAAAATTGACCATACCAATTCCAGATCTAAAGGAGCTTTCCTGCTCTTCAAGACTCAATGCGTATTCCCCAGTGCCTATACCCGTAACGCCCACAGTGATGATACAGAACTTTACCTCAAAAGGAAACACCAAAAACTCCCCCCTTCACAGGAACAACAGTAATGATTCCATGACCTCAAACTCCTCTGAGGATCCGTTACTTGCTCAGCCTCAGATGCAGGTAGGCTGGGTAGGCAAAAACATGCTTACACTACCCCGGACCAAAGATTCCGACTGCAAAGAGGATACACAGTGTAATACCTCACACCTACATCCCATTATCAAGATTGATAGCATGGAAACAAAGTTATAGCATTTATCACATGGTGCCAAAATACACATTGGTCCTAAACAACAGTCTCAAATCTAATGGAGTATTTTGTATTGATGTATGGAAATGGCAAGAGTATCATTCAGACACATTTCATGCATGTTCATAGGATCTCTAGCTTTACCATCTTCAGGGTATGTGGTCAATGTGTACATGGTATTTTCAAATGTCAAATTCTATTTGATTTGAAAGGTTATTTTTGTGTGTTAGGAGGCACATTGAAACAGAACTTTAATCCACATACAGCAAACTACAGATATAACGAACTCAAAGGATTAATTAATTTTAGTTCGTTATAAGCATAAACACAGCATAACTACAGCAAATAGTCGGGACAAAAAAGTAAGTTCATTATATCCGTCAGTTCGTTATAAACATTGTTTAGTGTATATAGAATTCAAAGGTTGCTAAGATTTTTGTTGCAAAAAGACTTGCATTTCTGGAAAAAAAAGTCAAGCACAACTTTCTATATATGTTCATTCAAATTTAAAAAGAAATCCTATCCTGTATTAATAGAACACATTCACTTTTGTTTACCAAGTGACATATACTACTCACCACTCCTAAGGACCATAAGTCATATTTTGTCAAAGGTGTGGTCCTTAGCCAATGTTGAGTAGTTTAATCATATTCAAATACAGAAACCAAAATTGATTACTTAACATGTTTTGCATCTGTTCCATGGCTGTAGTTATCAGGCCACACTTTCAATAGCTTCTTTGCATATGATGAGACCCAGTCTGGAGAAACATTCAGTGTTCTTGTACCAACTTTCAGCAGGTATCAGTGTTATCTTATTTATCAAAATGAGATCAATGCCATATGTAGGTATTCTTGAAAAGGCATAGAAGTTAGCAACATATGAAAATAATGAAGGGTCAGCGCTGAACTGTTTACCAGGTGAACATATAATGAATATACCTTAAGATGGACCATATAATGAATATACCTTAAGATGGACCATAGAATGAATTTACCTTAGGATGGACCATAGAATGAATATACCTTAAGATGGACCATATAATGAATATACTTTACAATGGACCATATAGTGAATATACTTTAGGATGGACCATATAATGAATGTACTTTAAGATGGATCAAATAATGAATATACCTTAAGATGGACCAAATAATGAATATACCTTAAGATGGACCAAATAATGAATATACTTTAAGATGGACCAAATAATGAATATACTTTAAGATGGACCATATAGTGAATATACTTTAAGATGGACAATATAATGAATATACTTTAAGATGGACCAAATAATGAATATACCTTAAGATGGACCAAATAATGAATATACTTTAAGATGGACCATAAAATGAACATACTTTAAGATGGACCAAATAATGAATATACTTTAAGATGGACCATATAATGAACATACTTTAAGATGGACCATATAATGAATATACTTTATGATGGACCAAATAATGAACACACTTTATGATGGACCATATAATGAATATACTTTATGATGGACCAAAAAATGAATGTGCTTTGAGATGGACCATATATCCTTGTCTTTGTAAAGCACAACCCTATGAAACTGAAGATCAGGGATAGAAATTAGCATTAGCATGCAAGCCCAAACAAGCTTGCCCAAAGTTAAAGATGTCCTCTGTCTATTAGAATTGTTAAAAATGTTGGATGTTGTGATACATTATTATTTGAGCTGATAGACTATCAAGGTTAATTTCTATCCCTCAAAGATTATATTTCCTAGTGGCTTATGTGTGAGATGATACCATGGGGCTAATGACACCATCACAGACCCTGACATACCTGACAGTAGTGAGTTCTGTGAATGGAAGCTGTGAACGAGACATATGCACAAAGATGATGCAACATTTCTACAGGTCACTGACCTCTTTAACATACTACTCCACTTTTGATAGAGATTTTTATCTTTCTAAGATACACAAACATGATTCTCATATGTCAGTGAATGTATAATTGGAATGACATATCTGATTATCTCTATCAATTGTTGGGTAGTATATGTGGTCCATCCATTACTTCAACTATTCACCAGACTACACAATAGTGCGACAGAGCTCAGATGTTCATCATGAAAATATCAGCCCCAACGGCAGCATTTCATGTCTTCTTAAAGACAAACATTATGGCTCCCTCGAAAATAGGGATACTGCCTCCTTGCGCTGAAGGGTCACACCTTTCTGTCATCTGAAACGTACCTTTACCAATGCTGGATTACACAGATGTATCCTAGCTTCAGCTTGGCACCAGTGGACATGGCCATTCCACAATGCATGAAACTGGTTAGAAAATCTACATAATGTAACCTGCAAACTCTGCAATGAAAACCTGTTTGTGCGTGTTGGGGAATAGTCTTGTCCTGGCTCTAGTGCAATACACTGCTAAGCTAGTGTACAACCATATATTCCGTTTGGTTATGGCACCTTTCAGCATTTAGGAATGTACCTGGGGTTCATATCTGTTGTAACATGTATAATTATACGTAATAAAATCCAGCTATCTGATTGGCTAGTCACCGTCTTGTACAATCCCTTACAAGTCGGTTAGTTGGTCGTCCGGCCATTGCAGACATCATGACATCATTGTGATGTCATCTGGTGCCATGTCATAACTGACCTTGTTCACATTTTACGGAGCCCATTGGCGGTCACAAGGCAGATCTGAAATTGTCACATAAACATACTTCATAGAAAATTCATCTTTAACTCTTTGAACACACAATGATAATTTGTTCCAAGTGTCAATAGCAGGGTGAACAGGAATTTATGAGCTGAACGTTCTTGTACATGGTGTACATGCCCATTCCGCTTGTAATTCCCCATAATTCCTCGCTACTGACACACGTTACTCATAATATGACAACGCCCACTTCAGTCCTATAGTGCTCCTGTGTTTAAAAAATGGCAGCTTGAGAGTCCATTAGTTACTAAGCTACACATTGATAGCACCCTCAGCAAATATTCAGTAATCAATCAGTTCATCCTCAAGGTAACTATCGAACAAGTAACGGACAATTTTCAAATGTTTTGTATACGTTGTCTTTGCCCTATAACTCCACACATGCATCATTCAGTGAGTGAGTGAGTGAGTGGGGTTTATGCCATGGTCAGGAACATACAACATGGCAGCATGCAATCACCTAGATTGGACCAAGCAAGCCAGTAGTCACACGGGTGAATATTGTTCCACAGAATAACAGGCAGTGTTTGTCCTTATAGCAAGCACTTCAGGAAGCATCTAAGTTAAATTCAACTTCAAAGTTCATCAATATGCCATGGCAAGCCTATGTAAACAGTCTTTGTCTTCAGCCACTTGTCCAGAACTGGGTTTGGTAAAAACAATTACTGTCTTAAGCTGAGCTTATAAAAATTCAAAAGCCAGGGAACAAAAGTCTTCAAAACAGATTCCTTTGGGCATAAAAGGCAGCGGTGAAAATAATATGAATGGATCATGGCGATTAGTCACTTAATGTTGTTTAGTGCAAGTTTTTCTTTAGTTTGCAACCTATTTTTCATTTCGTGAAAAATGTCTTATAATAATTATTTTGTAATTTTTGTGTTAATGTTATGAAAGAGCAGCCAAGGTGTGATATTCTGTACAATATGATGATGAGGCCTTAGATAATGTAGCAATTAGTATAATGACCCATGTACATAAACTTTCCTTGTCTTTGTCTACAACATTTAATGAAACCCTTTGCAAAGTAACACAAAACAGGTTCTGTGCATCATTTAACTATCATGTATTGTATTGTGAGGTAATGTATTCATACAACATAATAAAAACCGATTATCAAGATTATTTCAATTATCTGATGAAACAGATTCCTTTGAGCATAAAGACAAAACAGTGATGAAAATCTTAAAAGTTATATAAGATAGCTGAAAAATCAGTGATGACACCAGGTGTTCGCGATAAGGGTGAGCATGTGCTGCTCTATTGGTAGCACCCACAACTCACACAATTTGGATAAAAAAGTGTGTGTTGTCTAACAATTCAAGTACCTATAAGACGGAAAAGAAAATGATATGAAAATGAATGGTAAAATATTTTTTTCTGATATTTACAAGCCTTGAAGTCTCTGTTATTCAATTGACTCAAAATAAAATTGACTCAAGTTTGCATTCATAATTTCATCTTTCAAGATTCATCAGCATGAATGGTATTTGCCATGTTTAATACAAAACATTAATGAGGTATTATAAGTGAAATCGGTGATTGGTTCCTGATTCTTCTACCACTGAGTGCTTCTAAGCGAGCTGATTGGTCAGAACAGGTTCAATAGTAGTTTCCTGAAGGACAATACCTCTCACTGATCATGATACCTGACAAACAGCAAGTCAGTGTTCACATCCCATTAGCCTTAGACAGGTGAAAAGGTGTCAGGGCTGGTAGTTGAGCACAATGCTATGTTCCATAACCATCTACCCAGAAGTCAGACAAGTTGAATATAACTCATCGTGTCTGGCTCGGGTCATTGTTAATATTAATCAATAAATGGACACCTGTATTCAATGTAGTTAATGCACTGCTTCCATCAACAAACACAACTCAGCATTGTCACAGAGTAAGGCCTGAAGCTGATCTGGGTTCTTCCAAAACTCGGACACAAGAACATTTAAAAATTATCTGTTGTCCAGTTTTACTGAAAATTTTATTAAATTACCCTTCAATAAAAATCTACTATCAAGTCCAAAATTTACTGTCAAATTTGAAATTAAAAAAATAGCTCATTTGAATATGTATCCTCCTGCCCTTGAACATGTTGAATTTTTTTTACAGAACCTTTTTGTAAAACTGCATTGTAAATGTATAAGTTTTCCTATTTAGGATATTCAAAAAAGAGAAATACATGTACCATATTCGACGTAATAAGCCCCCAGAGATAATTGCTAATGAAAAAATCCCAATTCCTTCCGATTGATCAATGTACACAACACATATTTATTCGTTTATAATACGCACTCGTGTGTTATATGCACCTTAATTATGGGCAATTAAATTCTGGAAAAATATATCTGTCCTGGATACGGTAATACACACAGACTTTTCTTTTCAGACTGTAAGCATAAACCATGAAATTTACGATCATTCAACTCTTTTTTTTAAAGAGCACCCTATTTCTAATGTTGAGAGCACCCTGGGCGCTTATTACGTCGAATACGGTAGATATAACTGCTAGAGAATAACCAGTTTCAAATTTCCAACAGAACAAATTCATAATAGACATACAATGTGAAACTATATGAAGGGATCTGTTAAAATCTGTGGAGACACCAGGTGTTTACAAAAGGGGTAAGCATATTCTGCCCTCTAGGCGATTAAATTGAGCACAAATCTGAAACACAAGACAACCTATCAGTTATGTTTTCCACCAAGTCTAGTTTTCTTTATCCTTTCGTATTATATTCTGGCTGACCATTCCCTCTGAAGCAGAATGTGGAGATGAGAAACACAAATAATGTGGACAGTCTGTGGGTTACGTACAGATGTCTTCATGTCATGGTTTGTTGTCTGTCCCAACCACCGATCTGAATGCTGCCAATCCTTTGATGCCTTTATCAATGCTTGCTCATTAACTCAGCAAATTATTCATTGCAGGCTTACAGTGAATACAAGAATGATAGGATTGATAAACTATGTCATTTATCTGATAAGACATCCCTCCGGGACACAATAGATCATTTCTTGGGGTCAAATTGGTTAAACATTTATTGGAAAACATGCAATTTTGGTGCATCACAATATACAAGTGAAACTTAAAATTGCATGACTTGACGACAGCCTTGAAATAATTACTCCCTAATGTTCACCTCAAAGGATGACAAATAATCATTTCATGAAAACAGTCATTAATTAGAACTCTTCAAAATTGCATGCTTTCAAATAATGATGTAGGGCATTGCTGGTAGGTGTGTATACGGGACAAAGCCTTCTACCCTGTGTCAAAGGTAACCTTATATAGCAGGCCTTGGAGTCATCCCAAAGATGACATCCTTATCTTGTCAGTTTGCTGGGTTAACCTTTTTGGTCAAGGCAAAGTAATCTATCCTGTGTCAAATCTCAGCAAGGTTAACCTTTTGGGTCAAGGATTCCAATCTCAGATCAGGTCTGTGGTTGGAATTCTAGACTAAAACATGTTATGGCCGCTACGTTCTTTTGGTAAGACATAACAGCAAAGTTGTACTTCATGGCTGACCAAAAGAATTATTGAACAAGACAGTCAGTTGGTTTATATATTGGCCTAAGTCAAACTAAATAAATGTATTACAAATCTCTGACACTTTTACTTCCACAAATAGTTAGCAAGAAGAGTGTATAGTGAGTTACGTACATTTTGAAACTTATACAAGAAATGTGGGAATTTGTAGAAACTGTTGTTTGTAAATGTGTGCTGCTGATTGTGAATAAGTGAGATATTATAGTTTTTCTGTTACATTAGAATGGTAAAATATTCTAGAATTAATTTTGTCAAACCCAAATATGTTTGGTGTGTGAGAATTATGCATCATAAAGTGGGCGTGTGTTTGCCTACATCATCTGGTAATGGATCAATTCATGCACAGTCGGACCATGCCACTGCATGCCCCTTGGGGTCAAACAGTCTCACCAAGAAGATCAAACACAGTATGGCCACCCCTGCCCGCGGGGTCAAACTCAATCTGGCCACACCTATGATCATGTGGTCAAACGCAGTATGGCCACCCCATTTCCCCATGTGGTCAAACACAGTATAGTATGGCCACACCCCTGATCATGTGGTCATACACAGTATGGCCACACCCCTCCCCATGTGGTCAAACACAGTATAGTATGGCCACACCCCTGATCATGTGGTCATACACAGTATGGCCACACCCCTGAACATGTTGCCCAGAACAGGCTGGCCACACCGATGACAATTTATGGCCAATAAGTCGGACAACGCCCTGCCCAGGTGTCCAACAATCTGACCACACCCATGACGATATGGTCAAGAATAGTCTGCCGACTAGTTCCATCCATTGCAAGCTTAACAACTGATGGCCTAGCAAGGTTTGAACCCAAAACCTTTACAACATGACTGTACAGATTCCAATACTTGATGAAACAAATTATCATAAATTATGGATATCTAGTGTAGCAATTAGAAATACTGGTAAGTAGTTTCTAGGAATGTGTCATTAAACCCTGTGTATGTAAATATCAACAGTATTTTAAACTACCTATTTTTAGCTGTTATTATCAAAAAGTGTATCTTAAATTTTTATGAATTTTATATTTGTTAAAGATCAGAGTTCAAAATAATACTTGTACAGATTAAACATGTTAAATATTAATATGATTATCAGAATCTGTTAAATACAGAAAAAAACATAAATACAACAAATTCATTGAAAGATTTTATCCCTCTGGACAATAAATGGCATTGGTGAGTATATATTTTCATATATTCAGATATTATTGGCACCCATTTGACGTGTTTCCCACTCAGTGAAGTGCCGATACAGGTAGTGGTTGTTAGAAACTGATGTACAATATATCAATCAATCCACATTTATTGAATGCAGTCCAAATCACCTGGTCAGTGGTCCCTGAACCTCTGCTGCAACTAACAGTGGAGATCTCAGCATTGTTAAACTTTGATACATATGTATAGGTGTAATTATTGTTAAACTTTGACCATGTGATTTGAAATAAACCAGTGATCAGCTGTTTGTACAAAACTGCCTTCTGTCTTTTTCACCCTGTTTGCTTAAATTTGTTGCTGCACTCACCAATACTCCAGCTAAAGACTGCGGTTTGTATCGAGTCTGGACCAGATAATCCAGTGATTGACATCAAGTGCATCGATCTACACAATTTGGATATGATGACATGCATCAAACAAGTCAAGCCTGACCACACTATCCTGTCAGTTGCCTCTTATTATGACAAGGATGGGTTGCTGAAGACCAATTCTGACCTGGATCTTCACATGGCTTTCACTCTTTGAGAGGTTGTCATGGAAATCGGCAGGAGTATTAAGTATTGTCAGAGGCAACAGTGAATAGTGACAACCTATTGTACAGTGTTGTGACACGACGTAACAATGCCAAAATATACATGTCATTGTGGCAGGGAATTTCGGGCACTTGCCCTTAAAATTCCACACGGCCTCCACACATACATTATCTGATGGGATGGTTCCACCTTAAATGGATTACATGACGAATAAGGGAGGTGCTGTGTTTTTCTTTTCGCTGAAGACATCAGGGAGCAAACAGTCTGTTCAGAACATAATTTTGTTAAGACATCCAGCCACCCAATGAACAATTGTTGTCAAACCTGTCTGTAGTTTCTGGCACAATTTTAAATTTTTTAAAAGTACCATATATACAGAAAGAATGGTCACAAAGTTCAGTAAAATATTAGCAAGATGTCAAATTTATTATTACCAATCAACCACTTCAAGCAAACACAGAGATCAATATCAAGTTATTAACCCAAATGTTCTTTACGTTTTGTTATCAATACAAAGCAATCATTGTTTCTTAATCGAAATTATTGTTCAAAAATTGTTTATAGCTAAATTATGACAGAAAATATCTTCACATAGTGTATGTGGCAATGGGGTCTTCTGCTACCTGACCGACAGCCATCTTTGAAAGTGAGGGCGATCAAGGGCAAGTAACTCTAAAAGGAAATATTTTGCCTAGACTGAAATAAATATTACAGTCTGTTTCAATAAATCATCTGATTAGAGTGAGTGAAATGAATATTTCAGAATATGTATGTGAACAATATGGGATCAAGTGTTATTTTCACAAGATTGGCATAACTGTCACAGTTGGATTGGGTAAATCATCTGATTTCAGTGAATGGTCATGTGTTCATGGGATCATGACGCAGAGCTTAGACATTTGCCACACTTGGACGTAACCTAGTCTGTCTTACAGACCCTGATACAAATTTATCAAATACAGCCCAAGCAAGTCTATAATGTTTGGCAAGTCTAGATTACTGCAGTGTCTGAAAATGAAGAGAGTCACTGGGCTCCCTTTTACTATATTATTATTAAGATAACTGAACAACTGTTTTTTCTGCACAATATGTTCATTTCAGAGACAAGATGTTCGTCTAGACGTAACCAAACATCAGGACGAATCCTTAGGTTCTTTGGATGCAACTCTGCACTGGCACATCTGATAACAAGTTATGATAAGCTCAGTCAAACATGCATAATATTAAATTTAGCGAAGTTTATCAATTATTTGCTTGATTTGAGTCGATCATTTAACATGTATGTGACCATGCAAGGTTCAACAAAAGTCTTTGACCATTTCTTGATCCTTCATTGAACTGTGGACATAAGGTAAGGGACACAACTCGTACTGGTATTTTAAATTCATGGAACTTCGTAAGATTTATAAGTTTAACCCCAAAATTACACAAAAATATAGATCACAAACCTTTCTGCGCCGTTTCTTTAGCAGATGTCGTTACTGACTGCAACATTCCCATGTGTACGGCTGTCGACGATGGCCTGACAAGTCACGTATTTAGCTGACCACATTTTCACGTGCACTGGTCTATCACGTGCTCGTCGTGTCGACCGTACCAACCATTCAGGTGGAAAAATCACGTGCAAGGGGGAGCAACTCTCGGGACGCATTTAACGGGTTTCAAGCCTATTGCCAGTGCAAGCAATTTGGATTTACTTAAAGCCCTTAGTTTGTATATCAACAACATAATGTGATGGAATACAGTTTGTTATTTGTACTGACACTATCTCACTTTCATGGCTGGAAGTGGGGACCAAAACATTACCTACTGTTATACTCCCCAGGGCGCTGAGAATGAAAATCGAGTCCAGACTGATATTTGAACGTGGAAAAATGTGTGCACGTTGAGCATGC